AACATCTTTTACATGAGTTTTAACCCAACATTTCAAACTAGATCATCATTTGTGCTGTGCCTCTAGCTTTTCTACAACTTGTCTGTCACATAGCCATATTTCAACAACAGATGTACCTCGATCAGGGGCATTTTAGAAGAAGAAGAATTGAACTGAACTGAATTGAATTGAATTGAATTGAATTGAATTGAATTGAATTGAATGATATGGTGTGCTTTGGGATGTTTGACCTCTCTTGGATAATGCCAAAAGCCTTACAGTATTATAGCAGCTGCTGGAGACCATACCACAATTACAATGAAAGTGAACGGACGACTGGGACTACAAATGAATAGTAATGTTAGTCCAGGGAAAACAGAATGATTAACTTCATGAGGAAAGTGTATGGAAATTTTTGGTTTGAAATTTTGCTGCCCACAAGTGGCTACAACCGATTACTCACACAGGAAGAAAGCCATGTGTTTGTTCCACCCCACCCTTTATATTCCAGTGGTGATTTTGTTGCTGGTTTTAGTCTCTCAACAGAAGTATTAGTATTGTGAATCTGAAAACACTCACAGACTGTCATAAGCAATCAGTTTTTGTATTTCGATGTGAAGATGTGCTGTAGTAAAATAGTGTCAGTTTATCTCACTCATCTTGATTTTCTTTCTCCCTGAAGGGGTAAACTGACCTGCTCATGTCCCCACAAGCTGCCTCATTTGAGTCTCTGTCTGTCTGGCGGACAGCAACTCATCTCTCCCTGACAACCGATGACAAATTACCTTCCTTCAGGCCAGCAAATCCATGTGGGTGCTTGAAAGCTGTTGTCGGTCTGTGTTATTTGTTGAATAAAAGGTGCAGGCAGAGTAGATCAGTTATAATTCATCTCACATCTACTTCATAGTATACAGTGTGGCCAGAATAAAGCATAGCTCAATTTTGGGTTACATGATAAAATTTTCATTAGAATTCCACTGAAATCAACTAGATGACTAAAAGAACTTTTATCTTTCAGACTTGCACAACTGACTTTAAAGGATAACTGCACCTCTATCCAGTCCTGGCAACTCATTACCTTTCCTTTGAGTCTGCATTACAAAGAAAAAAGAAGAAGAAGAAAGAAAGAAAATTTGACGACTTAGCAAGACTGTACGACTAAATAACAGCACTGACACAGCGAAGGTGGGTGTGCCTGGTGCTCGGAGAGGTGAAATCAGGGAAGGGAGGAATGTTGGCTGTAGATGAAAGCTGGAGCACAGGCTGGGATGTGTAATAAGTCTCCACATATCAGCCTGTTGGTATAATAAGCCGGATCCTAGAGGCAGTAGAAGAGAAAAGAGAAAGATACATGCCAAGACATCTCTCAGTTGGATGCATTCTCTCCTCCTCCTCTTTACTGTCTTTCTGTATTTGTCTGCAGTACCTTCAAATTATTGCGTTTTCCAGCTGGCACGACAAAGGCTATATTGTCAAAACAGTACAGTTTCATTCTAATGGGAGCTTTTCAATAACATTATTTGATATTTGTTGGTTCATGTTTCACATTCAATTCAGCCAACTTTATTGGTATCACAAAAAACTTCCAATAAAAGAAAATGAATTCAATTGTTTTTATCGGTATCGTTCTAATTCTCTAGTTCTTTAACTGTTAAGTGTTACGTCAGAGAATCAGTGTCAGTAAATCTACTGTATGAAACAAGAAATTATAGCATTTTAAACTTCATAGAAGGACCTAAGTTTTATCAGCCAGCTGAAGTATATTTTAGCAAGGAAAATGTCACGTGTCCATGATTGTTATTAGTCCTTTATTTATCCAGGTAAAAAATCTTATTTTCAAGAGAGACCTGGCAGATGTACTACACTGTTGTGTTTACTGCAGTAGCTGCTCGAGGTGAAGCTCGTTTTTGCAACTTATACTCATTATATTTTAAGGATACTTACAAAGGAATCTAAATATTGTTATCTTAGAACAGATATATTTGATTAGATTTGTTTTATTAATATTTGTATTGGCATTCAACTAAAAAAGACACATTAAAACATTGCTTATACCAAATGAATCATCTTGTTCTGATCCTGTTTTTTTGTTTTGTTTTGTTTAATTATCTTGAGACATTTATGTTGATATCTCCCTAAACTATCCAGTTATAATTCATGATTGAAACCTCGTCTGAAACAATGGAGGCCAAGCAGTTAATCCAGCTGCCACTTTTCCTGTAAACTGTACATACCAAGAACATTATGCTGGATTTCTTGATTAATTAATTAACTCATTTTTATCTGCATGCACATACACATTTTATGTCAAGTTCGCCTATTGATTTAATTATTGGGCTAGAGGTTACAACACACAGGTTTAGCTTTCTAACTAGTTAGCTAGTTATGATGGAAAAGCACCTAGCTAGGTTGAATTCTGTTCTCTTTTGCTGGTGTTATCAACAAGCTGTAAAACATGTCGTTAAGGACAAAGATACACAAAGGTGTAAAGCACACAAAAAGGCAGATGAGTCGACATTTGGAGGAAGGCAAGTCACAACCAAGTATAAACCTGGAGCCTTGACTTCAAGTCAACTTTTACGGTTCACTTTACTGTCGCTTTCTCTTAATTTTGATTAAAGTTGGGAAAACGATCAGGTAAAATATGTGTTTTGTGATGTTAACACATTAGAAAGCTCCAGTTTCCAAGTTCAGTGTGTGCAACATCCTCACTGTGTAAAGCTGCCAGTACTAGCACACACTTTCACACGACTGTTAGGTGTCTAATAACTGCTTTAACAAATGGCCTTTGTTTTTCAGGCTGATGGAGACGTATCTGAAAGTTTGCCATTGTCAGCATATTGATCAGCCTGTTACAGTAACAGTCAATATTTCAACCTGACTTAAAGGTTCAGATAACGACCTATATTTTCGCCAATAATATGTTGGTTGTCTTGGAGACAGAGGCTTTGGGAGGGCAAAATGAAAGTATACACAGGCGGTAACCCAGTAAATTTACTTAACATACATTAATTCTTTACTTGAGTATTTTAATTTTATGCTACTTTTTAGTCTATATTACATTCAGTAGGAAATGTTTTACATTTTACTTCATTTTACAGTATTTATGTGACACCTGTAGAAACCCATTCCTTTAGAAAAGTGTTGGACTTTTGAAAAACCATTTTCTTTATTCAGGTCACCAATGATAATATTTTTACACAATGTTTCAAATGTTGAGCCTCAGATGTTGCGAAACATCTACTTCTCATATATGAGTGCTGTAAAATATCCAAGTACTTCCTCTGGAATCATTTAATATGGCCTAACTCCAAACTCAAAGAGAGTAGTGGGGCCGCATCAAAAATGAAATGTTTATAATACACATATGAATGTACTGTAAGTAATCTGTTCAACTGAGATCATCTGAAAACATTTGTTCCTGCTCCACCTCCTGAGTGTCAAAATAGAGACAAAACACACAATAAATAGTTTGATGATTTCAAAATGATTATTTTAATTTAACTTTTCAGTAAAGCTGGGATTAGCGCAAAGTCAAAATCTTTAGAACCCCAATAAAGACCATTGTTCTCCTGTAATGTCCCTGCCTATAAACCTGCCTTTACAAATAAGAAGCGCTCCAAATGACCTGAGTAATCAGCTACTTAAAATACCTTAGCTGACACATCACTGTTATTACCAGTACTGTCATCACTAACACTTCGTGGGCTTCCTTTCATTTCTGCATCATAAGAGAATGTAATCAATACAGTGATGATTCTCAATATATCAGTAAATTTCATTCAAACCTAAAAGCATGTTGTATCAGAGCTTGCAAATAGCTGGAATTTGTGATTATACGTCATGATACAGTAGTAGGTCTTAATTCCCATTATTACGCTTAATTCCCCCTTTTTTAAAATTTGATCACAATCGAACGATCCTGCTGACTTTATCTCACGTCATTCTACTTTTTTCTTTTCGTTTAATTAGCAGCATGCCCACAGTCCGGGATTTCCACCGCAGATGAGCATAATGACCATGACTTCAGCGAAATTACAGTGTCCGAGCTTCTGCTCTGCCAAAATCACAAGTTTTGAGTTTCTCTGGAAGGGCAGTGTTTGTTATGATTGTCCTCCAGGTGTGGGGCCGCAGTCAGTGTGTGTGTGTGTGTGTGTGTGTGTGTGTGTGTGTGTGTGTGTGTGTGTGTGTGTGTGTGTGTGTGTGTCGTTTCTACATTGACGTTTTGCTTAAATGAAAATGAAAGAAATAGAGCAATAACTTGAGAACTTTTTTTTTGCTCTGACAGTGTGTTTAATAAAAAATATTATAAAATAAAAAAATTCAAACACCAACTTTTCGCCAGCATCTTATAGATATCAATCATCCTCATCCGCCTTATTTGGCTTTCTGGCAAGCAGGAAGAATTTTATTTTGGGAAGGAGTTTAATGAGGCGATCTGTCTGCTGCTCTCAGAATTACTAATGACTTTAAAATAGGTTATGTATACATTTTATTATTATTTCTGCCAGAGGGTTCGAACATCCTGTACAATAAATTCCTGTTAAAAAAAATGTACTTTAAAAAGTTTAGCACCAATTCCGTTAAACAATAGAGGACATTTACGTCCTCGCAGATTAAAGAAGCGAATCGTTTTCACAGTAATAAATACACATCAACCCAAAAATAAGCTCGTCAGTCAGTATTAATAAAATGCCTTCGTTAAACTGTTGTGATCCAAGCAGTTGTTGACCTCATGAAAGGAAAATATGTCTGCAGTTTTTTATTTATTTATTTTTGTACATGTTGTCACACTTGCGGGAAAATGTTTTAATGGCCGTTCTTAACTTGAAGGCTTCTTTCGGCATTCTTAAGGCCCTCTCTCCGCCACAAGCTCCGGGAAGAGCCGGCTGCCCCGCCGCTGCCGGTTGTGATTTGTGTGACACGGTTAAGCCCTGCAGCCAATGAGCGCGCTGCTTGTGCCAAATGGAGGCAGAGAGGGGGTCAGAGCAGACGCGCAGTGCGCTCTCAGGTTCGGAACACTCTCCAGTTCTCTCCGCTGCCAGGAGTCTCTTTACAACAAACCGGGAATCGAGCGGGAACCTGGTTATTTTGGCCCGAGAGTAGGAGGAAAACCTGAGCACGTCGAAGGATATTCGTAATTAAACCTGCTGCTTGGTTAAGAGTTCCTGTTTTGTTTTCTCTGTTCGCTGACTTCCCCTGTTGGTCTGCGTGTTTCCCTGCCATGCGTCCAGTCTTCTACGGTTGGACTTAATGCTTTTAAACACTGAGCGTGATGTTTGTGGAGCTTTCAGCTGGGATGTAGCGGAGGGCAGACCCACCTAAAGTCACTCCACGGGAATACAGAGACGCTTTGTTTTTAAAGAGCTGCTTCTTAAAGTCTTCTGTTTTCTTGTGGGGTGTTTTTCTTGTTTCTTTTTAAACCGGTTGCCTTATCATGACCCTCATCTGGAGGTCATAGCCGACCCGTCGTCCTCTCTCCCCTGCACATCGCTGCCCCTCTCCCCAATGATGACTATGAGCTCCATATCAGACACTTTAGTAACGTCCGATCCGTCCAAATCTGCGTTTTTGGAGTTCGGTGGACACAGCTACCCTGGACACCCTGGACATCAACAACCTTCGCCAGGCTTATCCCACAACCATTATCCGGTTCACGGACTGCACGCTGTCGGACCCTCGCAGCACGATGGGCCCTTCTCCTCCGGGGCTTCCTCTTACGGTCGCCCGCTGGGATACCCACCCTACCACAGTCCAGTGAGCGCGCATCACCCCGGTGCCTACCTGCCTTATCAGCACGGTGGTCACAGCGGCGCGCTCGGACACACCAGACTGGACGATGCGGGTAGGTTTACGCACAGAAATGAATAAATGTTTGCTCATTTCCTTGTTTCTACACTTTGGTCTTTAAATATGTTCGTGGGATTTTAGTTTCATTTATTTGTCAGTTTAAATGTGCTGAAAGATGCCATAAATAAATAAATCCGACAACAAGCTAAAATACATTATTAATAGTTCGATGTGTCATTTTTAATAGTAATTCAGTCTGAAATTGATCACAGAGGACATTAAAAGAATAAAACACGCAAAACTAATAAGGATAATCACAGCGGATGAACTCGGACCATTAAAATTCTTGAAGTGGGTCTACAGAAACATGAAAATAAGCCGCAGCGGAACGCAATAATTGGATCCACACACAGGTCGGCCACAGCGTTGTGTTTAGCGTATTTTGGGGTTGGCCGGGAGATGTGTTTAAGGCCTGCGCAGACTGTGTGACTCTCCGGCACAGGCCCTGTGGTGTCCCGCGCTCCCCACCAAAACCCAAAGCCTCATCCTCATGCTCCAAATATTAGCCGTCACGTTTCCCTCTGAGCAGACACCAAAGCCTGTGATCTGACTTATCACACTACCACAATAAACAGAACTAATACGAACTAAATACGAAATGGACGAAATTAAACGAAAATGTCATTTTAAACGAACAAATGTGTTTTATAGATTTGAGCTTTTTTTTTTCAAAGTGTAACAAAACTAAAATCCAACCCAAAGGGAAAAAACTGATACAGTTACTTCATATTCTTATTTATGTCTTTGCTTCATTGACAGAGACGTGCAGTTATTTTGTGTAATATGACAGATTCAAGCTACGAAAAAAAACAATAAACGCCAATAAAAATAAAACTCCACGCATGATGAAAACGTCTCGTCAGAATTTGGCAGCAGGAGCTGTTAACAGATACCGGGACGATTACGACTGTTTGTTTTGTTTTAAATAATATTCCAGTGCAGATCACCTTTCTTTCACATTTTCACTTTTTTTTAAAAAAAATTTGCTCTTAATTTTATATTTTTATTTTCATCATTATTATTTAAAGAATTGACTATTACATAAAAATGCGTTCATTTAAACTAAATCTTTACTTTGGATTATTTTTTTTGTCTATACTGAAAATGTCCTTGCCTCACATGCAGTATTTACGGTTATTTCAGCATATATTCAGCTTAAAATCTGGTGACTTATTTCACCAGTTTACAAAATATTGAGATGACATGAACGCCGACAGAGACTCTCAGAGAGACAGAAAACAGCCGTCTTGTATTAGATACACATAAAAAAGGGCAGAAAAGCTTAAAAATGAAAATAAAATTCTGAAAAAGTACACAATGTTTTTATGTTTTCTTAAAAAGAAAAAAAAGTTCTCCATAAACATGACGCAGGTGAACATGACGCAGTACTTTCATCAGGTTTACTCGACTGGTTTTCTAAATAAATTCTGCTTCTGTAAATGCGCATCGACAGACGAACAGATGGATCAGCTCAAGGCCCATTTCACAATCCTTCACAGCAACTGCAGTTTATACATTTTTAAAGCAGATTTGGAATCAGTGGCAGGGAAAATGATCAGTTACAAAAACACAAATAAATACGACAGATTTTCATTGGTGCTCACCCAAAATCAGTCTTCTTGGACTTTTGCTGTTGGAGTTTTACACCACGCTCTAACTCACCCAATACGTACATCACTGTGTTAAACATCACTTTACACGTTAACTGTGTTGTACAAATCTTGGTCTGTGAGGGACTCTGCAGGGCTTGTTGACATGGAGTTCTTTTTGGACACTTTGGTCACCTTTATGAAATGTCCAGTTTCTTGGAACAAGGGTCACACCTTAAAAACATACATATACTTTTTATTATATATGGATATGTGAGCCAGATTGAGCTAATAAGTGTTTTACACACTAGCGCGTTTTCTTTCTAAAAGAAACCTTCCCCTGTCAGGTCGTTTCTAAGCACCCACTGTGTTTCTGTCCCCCGGTGTTGCTGCGCGTCAGCTCAGATACAGAATGCAAGCATCTTGTGGGGCCTTGGCTTTTCTACAACTGTTCTTTCCTGCCACTGCAAGCTGTGAGCTCATGTCATAACAAAGATCAGAGGGGGTGTACGTACGCACAATATAGCTTTCCTGAAAAAAATACACAAATACAAAAAGCACAAAGAAAAGCTGAGCTGCTTTTATGTCTGGATAACTGTAAACCAACATGGTTTGAAAAGGACCACCACTCACTATCATTGCACATGTCATAGTTGTGACGCAACCTGATCTTTAATCATTACATAATATCACTGGGTAAAAATGAGCTGCTGTGGGTTAATTTACTGTAGCTGCAGTAGTTTTAGCGAGCATCAGTGGGTTATTTTCCTCCAGTGTTACTTCAGGTTACTGGGTTTTTCTAGCCTTGAGTACTGGGTGAAGTTAATTACTGCTTCTGTGCTATATCCATTTTTAACAGCACCATCCAATTTTAGAGGGGAGCTTATTATTAATTGTTGTTAGTATTTTGAATCCAAAATCTTTGAATGCCAATTTTTTAATCAACACATGTAGAGATTTCTTTTTTTATCTTTGAATTGTAGATGTTGGGACAGTTTTCACAAAATACTTTTCAGTGTTATTTATACTTTTTGTACAATTTCTAATATAATAAATGGTTAAAAAAGAATTTATGTCAAAAACATTATAGTATAAACCACTTTTTTTGTCCAACATCAATTTTCAGTGTTCACACATGAATATTTTATATCTCGTAATCATTTAAATGTTAAAATGATTTTCTACAGTCTTTTTGTGACATAGAAGAGCCCAGCTTGAAATCCCACTGTTAACATTTTTCTGAACACCGTCCTTCTGTCCTCCCTTCTAACGCAGAGCATGAGAAGCCCACAGCGGTGATAGAAAATGGAGAAGTGAGGCTCAATGGAAAAGGGAAAAAGATCAGGAAGCCTCGGACCATCTACTCCAGCCTGCAGCTACAGGCTCTCAACCAGCGCTTCCAGCAAACCCAGTACCTCGCCCTGCCCGAGAGGGCCGACCTGGCCGCCAAACTGGGCCTCACGCAGACACAGGTTGGTATGAGCTATTCACACATGGACAAAGCATGCACAATAAAGCAGTGTAGACGGTCCCTAAATTTGAGCATTCGTAATATGTTAGGCATTAAAATGTGAGCAGGATGGAATGACACTTTAAGAATACGTGTAAAGCGTTTTAGGAATATAATTAACCTGTCTAAGGTAAAAACATTATTGTCTATGATGTGAAGATTTGAAAACATTTCCAGTGTGAAGTGACTCTAATAGAGGGTGTGAGTTGCAATTTCACCCTATTTTCCAAAGTATGCATGACACAAAATTAGAGCTACTTCTTAACCGAGCTCAATCACACCTCTGATTGTTTTCTTTGTTCTCTGCTAAGCCCAAACAAGACGAGCGCTGGTACATTCATGCCGACTGATGCCAACATTCCTTCATCTGTGAATTAGACATTGATGTAGCCAAACATAAGTGCAATATGGCATAAACTCTGTCATGAAATCTTCAAATATATGAGACGGGAGAAAACATTTGAAAATGCAGAGCAGTGTGCTGGAAACCGTTTGCGCAGATTTGTCTCCACGTGTCACCAGAACAGGTTCAAAATTGGTTCACTGGGACTTTCTGCCTGTTTTGCATCTCTTTGAAATGTGTGTGCGCACTCATACACATGTGGAGACACCAGCAAACGAATCCCAACAGCTGCTGTTTTGTCTGTGAAGCTGCATCGTGTTGTTGTGGCCTCTAGGTAAAAATGATTTAATTGGATATTTTAACATTTATTTATAATTCACATTTTTTATAAATGTCCATAAAGGTTGAACCACGTTAGCCAGCAGCAATCCAGCTTTTATCCAGTCAACAACACTTCAATATTTGTTGTTCTGAATCTTTACGTTACAGATCAAATCCCCCGATCCTCAGTTTTATCATAGCGTTAGAAAGACAGGCAAATGTGTGAATGAAGGTGCATTTTCTTCAAAATACGAAATGTAGTAACTTACACATTTTGCAAAATACATGGAATGGAGCATGCTTGTGTAGTACAATGTGGAACACATTGCTAATGATTAAAGGTAGATTTTGTAGTATTTATTTAACAAATACAAAAAATGTAGCACTATATACATTTGGCACTGACTATTTTAGGATCAAATATATCTTATTTTATTTATTTACTTTTTTGGGGGGGGAGGGTAGATTCACATTTCTTTATAAGGCATATGTTTTTTGTGAGACTTAACTTTATGGGACAAGTGATAAAAAACAAAGTGTGACACCTGGTTGGTCTCATTATGAGACATAATGAACATTTTTAAAACTTACCAATGCAAATGACATAATCGTAACAGAACAAATGAAGAAAACACACTCATAGACCAGAGAGATGCTTTTCATTCCAACGTGTTTTCTTTGAATAAATCCTTTTTAATGATACTGAAAAACTGTTGTGTTTTTCATTGGGGCTCATCAGCGATAAATCTCTATATCTGTGTAACTGACAAAGAAAAACAGTGGAACGTGTTTTACTAACTGCTTTATTTTGTCAGTGTCTGTGTTTACTACTGGGCCTGCTTAAATTAGCAATGTGCTCATTTAAGCTGATTTCTGATTCTGATTTGCTTTGTCGGGCAGTTTTCCTGATATTGTTCAACACAAAACTTCATTTGAGAGGTGCCAAGAAGTCACGAGGTAGTGACGCTGGAAAATCCAGATTACTGACAAATTTTATGGTGATATTTATCTCCAGTGATCCACTGCTGTCAGCTAGTGTAATACTGACTCAGTGCAAGAGAAGGCTGTAAGAGGCATGGCTGTGTCGTCTCTTTTGTTGCACCTCTATTGCCAACTTAATGTAATTCATTCATCAACTCAAAATAAAGTAATAATAACTTTGTTTATAATTTCATATAATTGATACAATTAAAACTTAGTTTAACACTGTGATGTCCAAACGCTTGTTAAACTGGTTGAACTAGTGATGTATTATTTGAGTTGAGCTAGTGTTTTTGCCATCATGGTAGCTCATGGTAGGATGTATTTACTACCAAATTCATCTGCATTAAGCAAACTGACTTACCAAGAGGAGAGTCAGTCATTGTCTGTAGTTTCTTAAATATGATAAATAAGTTTGTTTGTAAGTTGGTTTCAGCTATTTTCTAGTTAATGAAAACTGAAAAAGTGGAAGTTTCACATAAGCACAGCCAACAACGACAGAGTCTGACAGTGATATTATTAAACATTTTGTTTCTCTTGGGAAAACCAGTGCAGAGCTGGAAAACAGGAAGTATTGTCCCTGTGAGTAACTGGTACATGTAGACTGTAGACAAAGTGGCCAACTCTGTCAGTCAGCAGAGTCGTTGTTATTTATGGATAACAGGAATCTATAACAACAAATTATAGCAGTGGCTTACTTCCATGGGCTTATGACACTGTAGGCTCTGTGTAGAATAATCACAGATACATTGCACCTGTCCAAAAGGTGAAGAATAAAGGTTTGAATAGACAGCAGGTGTCCGACTGGGGAAACATTAGATGACACTGTTTTGGAATATTTGAAATACGATCCATGCTCGCCTGCATGTGTGTGCACACTCAGCAACCATCAGCATTTGATGTCATCAGCTGAATTGTCCTAATCCCATATGAATTAACTACAGCAGCTATGTTTACACTAGAAGTAAGAGATGATCCATTCATTTGTCTTCATCTTTTGTAGTGGTATAGTGGTTTGCTTTTTTATTGTGGTCTGCTACAAGTCATACTCACATGTATGCTCATTGAGAAGCACCATTTTTGAACTCGCTCCTTGTTCTTCGAGGTGTTTTGGATCAAAGGCAGTCAGTTTGTACGGATCCACACAGTATGATTCAGCTGATTGTGGAGTACAATGAGAGCACATGTGATGGTAGTTTGAGGAATGGCAGCACATTTGTATGTGGGATTGTGATGTTTAGCGTGTGGGAGTCTTCTTTCTGTGAGTTCCCATTTCAGAAACACGGCACAAAGTTACTGAAGTTACTTTTATTAGTATCACATACCATTTGTTACATTTGTTGCATTTCTGTAGGCTAGGTACAAAATAACTCACTACTTTTTGTCCTTTTATCTGGATTTTTTAAATGTCCAGTTCCTGATGTGTAAATGTTTCCATTATAACACACTCAGAAATTCCACAATAGAACAAAAAAAAGCTGCATTCGTTAAATACACCCTATGCACAACGCCACATGTTGAAGATGGTGGTGCCTTTTGTGAAATGTTCATATCCAGCTTACAGTTGATAGTACAGTTGGTGTACACGGTACAGTTGATGTGGTGATGTGGTTGGGGAAAAATGTTGCACTTAAGCGTTGTTGAACTTCAGCATCTTGTATACACAGCCCACTATTTTCAGGGGATCAAAAGTATTTGGGCAAGACACTCATAAATAAAAAGGTTTACTGCCTTTAGCTTTGACACAGTCTTCCGCTTCTTTAATCAAGAGTTGCCTTGCCTGTACGTTTCAACCTTGATTTTTATTTTTCATCCAATTCTTGGTTCTATTAGCAAATTTAACTTTAATTTTTCGGAATGTGGCAACAGTAATGGAAACGGGTCCAACTAGCCAGTAAATAGACAGATGGGAACAAATATATTAAACAAACCAAGAGATTAACTAGATTAGGTACAATGTTTTAACACTCTGAGGTCAAAGTCATCCTCAGTGCTAACCCAAACCCAAGCCCTATATTTTTAGGGAGGAAAAAAATGACTTTTCTGGAAAAGAGTGAAGAGCTTTTGCTGTGTCAGTTAGAATAATTGTCTTTGTTTCCCCTTGTACTTATATGTCAGATCATGTCATGCACGAACTACGATACACTGAAAAATTATCTGAATCAGGAACTGAGGATGAATATTGGCTTATATTAATAATGTATATTATTAATGTTCTGGTCATGTAGAACTAAAACCCTGCGATCCTTGAAATTTTATTATTTTCTTTCATTTTCTCTAATAAATACTTTCTATTTTGTTTACTTTCCACTCCTTTTTCTTGGTCAAATGATTTTGAAACATAAAAACCTCTGATGTTTTAGGCTAGGCTAACCAGTATTGCTGTAAATATAGAGAATTGCAGGTAAAATATGTGCAGTAATTTTATACAAAAAGCAACTTTTTATATTTTTAGGCTTCTTTACGACATAATTAATAGAAGACACAGAACAAGTCCTACTGAAACCCACAGTCAGCTGCATCTAGCCTGTGTGCTTATATGTGTTGGCCCGCTGCGTCTGCTGTGCATTCCTCACGTACACGGGTGCGCTTTTCTGATCACGGGCACACTCATGGAAAACATACGTAGTTTATGTGCACGCATACACCCACGGCCACGTAAATGCACGCGCACACACACACACTCACACACACTTGAAGATAGCGATCATGCCATTAGGCTGCCAGCCAGCGACTGACCACTTTCCATCGAAAAATAATGTTCCCAACGCAGCTGAGAAATGGCACGTAGCACTGTTCTAATGTTTTTCCTCGAAACGTTCCCTATCTCTGTCCATCTCTCTCACACGCACATACACGCCATCTATACAACTTCCAAATGGAAGACATCTGGACAAATAAAACTTTTTTGACAAGGACTTTAGTATATGCAGACAATTAAGTTTGTTAATTTTCACACACACTCTGTGTCCCTCAGTGGTCTTTTGCCTGCCTTTCAGCCACCGTCTTCCCTTAAAGTCAGAGTCATTAGCCACACACTCAGAAAACTGTCAGCTCCGTGTTGCTGCTGGAATATGAAACCAATAATTACAGATGACATGCTCTCACTGAGGATGCTGTTGATTGACTCCTGGCCTCTTAAGCTACACTCCAATCCTTCAGGTTTTCATCCACAGTGTAATACTGCAGGGGATTATTATATAGTATTCAATGCAGTGTGTGACTATCACTTTTTATATTAAGATTAATATTATATTAATTTAAGAATTGAACTTTAATATGATTTAAAACCTTCCTAAATGTTGCAGCTTGAAGAATTCAAAGTGGATAATTTATAATTCAATTAGTTTTAATTTCTGAAAAGCAGCATTATCGCCTTTAATTTTCATATATTATATCGTATATTTATGGAGTCTATGCTTTTCACAGCTGGTGACTGGCGTCAGTGGATATATTGGAACAATAGAGTTTAAATTAAATGTCAACTTTCACTCGGCATGATTTCTGGCTGTTTCAGTTCAAAAGCTGGGTGTGAAAGCTGGACATTTTGGGATTACTGGGAAAGGGATCATTTTTTCCACATATTCCGAATCAATTACAGCAGTCTGAAATTAGAATTTTTATAGATTAAAATATCTTCCATAAAACCACTTCACAACAGTCTTCATAAATACCCATAAACTCCCCGGGTAATAATTCCTAGGACTGGAGAAGAAAACACTTTCAGGGCCAAGAGTGTTTTCTTTTCTTTTGCTCACTCTTTTATATTTCTTCTCCTTTGTTGCTAGCCAGAACTGTGCTATGGGTGCAGGTTTTTTCCCCTTTACAGCACAGTTAAAACCCATTTCAGACAAAAGTATCCTTCACTGGCTCTGTACAATTATACATGATTCACTCGTTCCCGCTAAGCTGACAGGTTGGCCGACAGGCATATTTGCGTAATTTGATGCTCAATTTGCAAGCATGCTGGAAACAAAGAAATGCCAATTATATTAACAACGTAACTAAATCATCTGTAACCACTGATAAATGATTGAAGTGATATTCATCTAAATACTTTGAGATATTTTAATTATACGATGCCTGTAGTCACATATTAATATTTTTGTATGAACCTGCTGGCTAATATACTCACAGGATTGGGTAATATGCTGACCATCAGTTTCCATTGAACCTGTCGTTCTATAAGATGCAGGCCTTCCAATAAACAGCTTTATGTGTCACACTAAGATAGTTTTTAAAACCCTAAAGGAGCTGTATGCTGTAGTGTGGGTGTGACAGTGTGATTCAAGTACCTTATCATGTGCTGGTGTTTTTAGCTGTAGTAGCTAACTATAGTTTCCCTGTAATATTACTCCAAGCTTACTCTCTGTTAGTACCGCATTGAAGTATAGGCACATCTTACGTGTGCTGCCTATTGTTGCCTGGTTTATGTAACCTTACACTGCCTTATTGTTTTGCTTTGTTTTTGCCTGCCGCAGGTATCACATTATCACCGCTACATCATTAGGTATCATTGCTAACATGTGCTAAACCTTTTAATGTTTCCAAAAACTAAAAACAGAAACAGTTGTGCAGAGAAAAACTGCTTCCTCGCTGAGTTCAACTTAAAGGAAGCACCTAAGCTAGCACCTAGATTTAAGGAGCCCAAAGCTAATGTTAATCTACTCATGCACATCACTTACCTTTGGTCATCACAGCTGTTAGTGCTAGATAGCAATGACTTTATAATGATTCAGTTATCAGGTCATCTATATCGAAATCTTTTCTTCTTGTCAGTAACTGTGGTGAAGGAGGGTTCACTCAGGCTTAAGGATGATCGGACTAGATTTTACTGTGATCCACTGTTAGCAACACATTGAGGGAATTTCTTCAAATTTGGCAAAAAAAACCCTCCATTTGAACTCAAGGAAAAACTGATTAGTTTTGTGGTAATAACAAAATTATAGGAGAGATTGTGACAACACTCACCTTGATTTTTAGGTGATTGTACAGTTCTTTTGGGCTGCTGGGTTGACGATGCTAATAAAGCACATATTATAGCCTATGTGCCTTGGTAAAGACAGTTGTAAACTCCAACTTGACTTGTTGGTATTCGTATACAACTACAAGGGTGCAATGAGAGTTTAACCTGATTTGATTTTAGTTGTGAACAAAGTGTTTTTAGATGTATATTTATGGTTAAAGACTCACCCACTGTTGTGTTGGTTACTGATTTTTTAAAAACTCGAGGAAGAAAAAAAGAGGACAAAATAAGAACACGGTGCTGCATAATTCTTTTAAATAAAATTATTTACTGAGCCCATGACCTTAAAATAAAACAGTCACTTTATGATAGTTTTGGTCTTTATCTTGTAATAAATCACTCAATCCAATCACAGCGTTTCCTGTATGACTCTTAACTCTTGTACTTTTTCTTTTTCTAGGTGAAAATATGGTTCCAAAATAAACGATCTAAATACAAGAAGATCATGAAGAATGGGCCCTGTGGACCCGAGGGAGAACACCTTGCCCCTCCACCACCAGCCTCCTCCTCGCCGTGTTCCTTGTGGGATATCAGCATGGCTGCCAAAGGTGCACCGGTGCACTCAGGAGGATATGTGAACAATTTTGGACACTGGTATCCCGGACACCAGCAGGAACCCATGCCAAGAACTCAGATGATGTGACAGACGGGGAGATGCGACGCTTCCGGGACAAATTGCGGAATTATTCCGGCAGGCTGAACTGAAGCTCTAAGAGACAAGGACATTTTTTAGAGTCTGAGCCACTCTGGAGGCAAAAATATAAGCAGCAGCTATGCAATAAAACTAAAGTGGACAGATATAGGGGAAACTGCTAAAATAGCTGTAAAATACACAATATTATAACAGAAAGAAATACTACAATCAGTACAATTTTCACACGAGCTGAATTTACTATTAGCTGTTAGCGGTGTGTTGATGATGTCTGATAAGCCTTGGAATAAGGGATCGACAAAGTGGCTCAGGTCTCATTTGTAAAATATAACTAGCGAGATATGAATATTGATAAACTTCTCCCAGACTCAGCTTTGAGGAGTGAATCATCAGATCTACCAGGCTGAGCAGTAAGTGTTCGGTACTTACACAAAGCCATAGCACTGTGTATACCTGTTTGAAGTATTTCACTGTCATGTTTTTGGTGTTTACTTTGCCAGTTGCCTAATATCAAACTGCGCGTATCCGACTCCAATTTAAAGCGAGACTGGATTTGTACTGGTGACCACGGGTCCAGGAAGTCTCAGTTACAGTATAAATATGGTAAATGTCAAATGTAGCTTTACAGTAGCAGTAGAACTCAGCTTTTCATTTGTATGAGGAGGAATTTAGCTTTAAATATATTTTTTTAAAAATAACCTTACCTAAGTTAAAAAAAAAAAAAAAAAAGCCTAGTTCTGCCTCCAGAGCAGCTCTGCCTGCTAAGACATTTTGATAAAGCTACAAGTTAACACTATAACTCAAAGCTAATGCCACCACTGCTTCCAGACTTTTCCGGAGGCTTCTTTTTTTCTTTGCCTTTTATTTGGGTTTACACTCGGGCAGGTACATGTGTAAAAAGAGGGCGTCCTCATAAATATTTTTTAATGAACACTTTGGTTTTTTAATGTTAAATACAGATCAAATTAAAACACAGATGAAAACAAACGTTCTTGTGATGCTGACATTTGTGTGTTTGTGTTCTGTGTAGGATCCAGTGCAAAAGGCAAATATAAAAAAGTACTAATAGCACTTATGTAGTATATAGTGTCAGTATAAAGAGTCATTTTAGGGTGTTTCGTAAAAGCCTTTCATTTCTTTCTTTCTTTCTTTTTTTGGCTCACTGTTTTTTCATTTTTATAATCCACATAAGTGAAAAATTGACTAAATTAAAATAATTGGACTTCATGCTCCTCTCCATTCAACTCATTGTTCACTTCTTTCCTCAGAAAGCTTTAGTGGGATTGGGGGGGTTTGGTGGATAATAATAGGCTGATTTACATTTTTATGAACTTTTCATTTTATTTCACCAATGAATTACAAAGACCGTCTCCATAAGTTTCAACTTTAAATTCCAAACTTCTTTTTTTTCAACTCAACGACCTCTTAAAATCCCAAATTAACATTTTGCCAATAGCAGATTTAGGTTAGCCTTTGTTATCTGAAATAAATCAAACCTATCGCTGATTTTGTTTATTTAACCTAAATCCGTAGGTGGACGTAATTTGTCTTTGCACCTTTGATAGAATATCGAATTCTGGCAACAGTAACTTGTTGCTAAAATAACACATCCCCTCCTCAGTTTAAGTTCTTTGTGCGTCCCTGTGGCCCAAAGCCATTTTCTTTAAAGTCGTAAATCAGAAGAAGCAAGTCACGTCTTTCACCCCTGCAAACATCTGGAAATGCAAAAAGAGTCGTCAAACATTGTCAATGATTTTATAAAATGACCACGTCAATTATAGGTAATTTAGGACACAGCTTGTTAAATAAAGCTTTCACTCTGACGCTGTAATTATCTGTAATTGTCAGTCAAGGGAATATCCTTCTGCCTCCAGCCCTCGAGGGAGAAGTCTAGGAAGTAGTGGATTGCATCAAACTGGATTACTGAGGCCTAATCCTTTCGCATCAAATTGATTTGCTGAACGGTTTTTGAAGATTTGCATGAAAACATGAGTTTCATGTTTTCTTCGGACCAGAAAAAGCAAATCCCTACAGTGCCGTGATAAACTCCCTAATTTCTTAGTTTTTTTTCCATATTTCTCACACGTTTTAGATCATCAAATACATTTTAATGTTAGACAAGGTAAGATGAATAAATACAAAAGCAGTTTCATTTATGACAAGAAATAAACTATACAAACTTATCTGGCCCTGTGTGGAAAAACTTCCCTTCTCTGTTAAATTATTAATTAACTGAGATTAATAATATTTTTTTGGAATGCTGAATTTAATTTCACTAGCCTTACTATTTACTGCCAGATATGCTAAATAAAGAAATCTCTTAAATAAAACCTGTCTGACAAAGGCTAAACTATTTCATAAAGCAACTCATCATTCCACGATCTAGAAGATGAAACCTAAGAACGACTGAGAAACAAAGTCTGCCAGTCATCTATCATTCTGGAAGGAGCTGGAAAGCTATTTCTAAGGCTTTTGTACTCCAGTAAACTATGGTCATTATGAACTATGGACAAAACTTGGAACAGTGCTGAACCTTCGCAGGAGTGCCGGCCGACCAAAATAGTCCCAAGAGCGCATTGGTGATTCATCCAGGAGGTTACAAAAGAACCCAGAACAACATCTAAAGAACTGCAGGTCTCACTTATCCCAGTTAAGGTCTGTTTTCATGATCCTGCAGTAAGAAAGAGACGGCAAAAATGGCACCCATGGGAGAGATCCAAGGAAACAACACTGCTGACCAAAGTCTTGATGATTCCCAAGACTTTGGGGCAAAATATTCCGTGGACTGATGAGAGAAAAGCTGCACTTACTGGAAAGCTTGAGTCCTGTTACATCCGCTGTAAAACTAACACAGCATTTCATTAAAAAAAACATCATTGCAACAGTCAGCATGGTGGTGGTAGTGTGATGGTCTCAGGCTGCTTCGCTGCTTTAGTGCCTGGATGACTTTCCGTAATTGATGGAACTATGAATTCTGCTGTGTAGCAGAAACCCTGAAGAAAAATGTCCGACCATCAGTTTGTGCCCTGAAACTGAAGTGCATGCAGGTTATGCAGCAGGATATTGATCTGAAACAAACCAGTAAGTCCACCTCTGATTGGTTGTCAAAGTTGGGACTTAAATTAGATTGAGATGCTTTGATGTTATAACCTTAAACAGGCTGTTCATGATAAAAATTTTAAAAAAAACCAGTGTGGTTGAATTAAGAAAGAGAGGACCAAAATTCCTCCACAGAGATGTGACTCCTTGCCAGTTACCGCAAGCACTTGATTGCAGTTTTTGGCGCCAAGGATGTCACAAGCAGTTATTACATTTAAGGGGCAATTACTTTTTTTTACATGCAGTAAGGCCAGGTACGGTTTTATCCTTTCATAAATCAAATTATCACTTAAAAATGGTATTTTGTGTTTACTATCTTTTTATCTGTACATTATTTTTGTCAAATACTAAAAATGTTTTTGCAAACAATATGCAAAAAAACAAGAAGTCAGGAAGGGGCATTATAAGGTAGTACATTCCATTGTTGTAATATAGTAATTGGTGAAACTCAATCCAGTGCAAGTTTATTTACTGTATGAAATGCCTGTTCACAACAACAATCCTCTCAACGGTTTTATAGTAAAGAGCCAACATTATTATAGTAGGAAAACTCCAATCAGCTCTCAGTCCTCTGTGATCACTTGGTGATGGTGGGAAAGAAGAACTCCCTTTTAACAGGAAGACATGTCAGGAAGAGGAAACTACATCCACAAAGTATTCACAGCGCTTCACTTCTTCCACATTTTGTCATGTTACAGATTTATTGTAAAATGCATTACATTCAATTTTTACCTCAAAATTATACTCACATTATCCCATAATGACAGGGTAAAAAATAAATAAAAACGTTTGTGAATGTAAAATCATTTTCAAAGAACTTCATTATTCTTCTCTCTAGATTTTTAACAATATGTTTTTGTTTTTATTAATGACACACAATAACAATACTTTGCTTCTAAAACTAACATTTATGCATTTATATAAGGTGAAAGTCCAGTTAAGCTGAATGTTGTGGTCTCTCACTGTGAGACCAGCGGCTTCAGAGGAAGATTGTTCTTCAGATTGACCTGTGTTTTAAACGTGATTTTATAAATAGTGTGGAGAAGAAAATTACTCATTTCTTTTATCATGTAAACCAAAGCTTCTGTTCAAATTACACATTAGCTGTGAAATTTAAAGTTGTACCAAGGTGGCATAATGGAGGCCACCGCTCTTTTTTTTTTTTATCCTGTCCTCTTTCCCCCTCACATTCAAACTGCCTACTGAGCTCTGCTCTACTTTCTACTGTTCCTCACAGACTGTCATCAGACCTTAGAATATCCCAGGGTCTTTACTTTACAGTAGAAAACACAGTGAAGTGCCATTGTTGTGAAATGAGGCGATAGAAATACTTTCAAATCATTAAAATGAATTAAACTGAGTCGTCCAGTGTAAACCATCTGTTTATATCACATCATATAAAGAGTTAAGGCTGATAATAACAAACGCTTGAAATTATTCATATAGTGCTTCTAAATGTGTAATTTTGGGTTGGGGCAGGAAAATATAATCCGTTATTAATGACACTGCACCCTTCGTGCCATTAAATGAAGAAGCAGAGAAAGGAGTCATTTGCACCTAAGCATGAAGGGGCTTGATTTTTCAGGAAGCGATTTAACTGCAACAGTAAATTATTTTACACCACTGGACAATTTTCTTCCTCTTCCTCTTAAATCGAGACAGTTGACTGCTGTCTTTTTCACAGTAAACACATATTAGATGAGTACCTGAGCATTATGCATTGTTCACGCCAGAAGTCTAATGGACTTATTTACATTAAAAGCCCTCGATTCGTATGGAAGAGGAGTGGAAGTTACAAGCATTTTCTTGTGTAGTTTTCTCCCAACCATCAAACAGCCGTTGGAACAAAAGAAAGCCCGCACTGGAAATTTTTAGGAGACCTCAATTGATTTAGTCTGCTACCAAGAGCAGCATCCTGTTGCCCCTGGCAGAGTTCACACCATAGAGTTTTATGGAATACTTCAGACATGTCGGATTGTCCTAATGAACTGACGGAAGCCTCCTGGAGGCTGAGGAACCATGGCAACATAACGGTGTCTGCTGAAGTGTTGGCAAATGAAGGAGGCAAGAAAAACTGAGAGCGAACCAAAGGGCCACACAATAGCAGATAGAGCAGGGCGGGAGCGAGGCCTTTAACCCTCCGAGGACCAATTCATCAAGTGTGACAACTCCAACACTAACTCTCACCTCTGGCAATCAAAATGTAGTTTTTTAATTTTTGTTTTGATTAAATTGGTCTCTCAGTTCTTAGCAATCAGGGAACAAAGAAAAGTCTCATTCCACGTGACACACATAAACAACCATTCACATTTTTCAAAAAGAGTCTGTTTCAGTTGATTGCTTTAGGGGCTTAAAAAGACCAGATGTCGATAAAACCCACTCATCCTCAGGCAACCAGGCATTTATTAGTTCACCATGGTAACTAAAAAAATGGAAGAGAAGTCTGTGTTTACAAAAATTAGAAATGCTCTGTATTTATCAAATGCCTTACCTGATTTAAATTTGGCCATCATCTTCGCCTTGTATGCCTTTAATCTCTGCCTTTAATCAGCTGTTGTTTTTGGACCTCTGAAGTTCTATTGTGTCCCCCTGCACCAGTACAGTATAGCAAAACTATGCTCCTTCAACTC